CTCAGTTTATAGAGTATATTGATGATCTTCCTGAGTATCCAAAAACTGCACTATGTGGATATACATATGTAGTTCCATCACATGGACTTTCAAATACTGAAGTCAGCGCTCTAATTAGTGATGTTAGTATATAACTACTTACCAACCACTTCCGAACTACTTGCTAACTGCTTAGTAGATACAGTATAATAAACGTCAAGCAAGCGGCTTAAAACGAGCAGTCTTTTCACCTTTTCTTCAGTGTCGGGTTAAAAGATGGTCTTGGAAATGTTCTGGTATTCTTCGATGCGAGTTTTTAAGCCAGTCTCTTCTATCCCATCATCATACCTTTGTTGATGAAGACTTTTGGAAGCGTTTTCAAGACACACGCCAAAATGTAGAGATTTCGGAGACGGATACTGCTAAACGGAACGCCTATAGGTAAGTAGTATTAAAGTACTTATCAAATACCTCTAAAACGCTTACTAACTACTTTCTAGCTACTATAGAGCAAAACATAGGTTTTTTCAAAATCAGAAGCCCTGTATAGAAGAACTTCCAACCTGCAGACCTATATTCAAGCGCTCTACCCAGCCGGTACTCATTACTTTCAACTACTTACAAACTACTTCGAAAGCACTTGCTAACTACTTTAGAACTTATATGGAGATCATACACCCTACGTGGCCTGTATTCATGAGACTGGAGGCTTTTTAGAAAAGCATTGGAGAACTGCAATTCAGAGTCATACAGTTCTCGATTTTGCTTTTCTTGAGGAGCTTTTTAATAATAATATCATACCACCTACAGAGGATTGCAATATATTTGAGTCACTATCATCACGGCGGAAATACTGTGGTAAGTAGTTTCTAAGCGGTTTCGAAGTACTTATTAATTATTTATAGAAAAACAACATCCTCAAGGTTCAGGGCGTTTAATCCACACTACTTGTAATGTGGGCTTTTCTGCTTTGATTCCTGAGAATTTAAATTTATATCCTTATTTTATTTTTACTTCTCATGGTATTCATAAACACCCTCCACCGCCGCCAACAAAAACACCAGGAAGAATTCTTCAAGGAATAAAACAGCTTGTTCAGCAGATCCGTGACCCAAGTATGACAACAGGTAAGTATTTTCCAAGTGCTTTTCAACCAGTTTTAGACCACTTGCTAAGTACTTGCATAGCCCAGTTTCTTCGAAATCCGCAGCTTGAGGATTTTTGCCGCCAGTATAATGCATCTACACTTACTGAGCTACATCCAAGCTTTTGTAATAAAGATAAAATTAGTCTTATTATTCAAAAGCAACGCCTTTTAACAAATCCAAATGGGCAGGATGTTGATGGACTGATCTTTTTACTAAATATTGATCCTTTCATTCGTGTAAGTACTTTGCAAGTGCTTGCCAAGCAGTTACCGACTGCTTGTTTACTAATTCTTAGTATTTAGTCATATGTTCAAGACCGATATCATGATGCAGACGGAACTATGATTTTTTGTGCTTATAAAGAGCAGCTTCAACTACTTGCTCGCTTGGAATCATTTGAGGTTGATATGTCATACAAACGGCTTAGATCAAACAACATGAATGAGGTTCTTTTTGCAACATTCCTCAAGGATCAGAATAAAAGTAAGTACTTGCCAAGCACTTCAAGACCACTTACTAAGTGCTTTGATAAAGTTATTACACTTCTTCGTGTTTTCACTACCTTTGATACTGCTGATGGATACTATCTGCTTTTCAAACGAGCCTTTTCTCTTTTAGAAAAGATTACTGAAAAGCCTATACTTTTTCATTCTATTCATAACAGTGGATTTCATGGAGTGATTCTTGATATGGATACCAAGCAGTATAGCGGTAAGAATCTTATTAATTACTGATTGAGTACTTGGCAAATACTTATCAAGTACTTAGGACTCGGACGTTATCTTTCAGAGATTGACCCGCAGCATCGGGATTATGTATGGCAGTTACAACATTTTGTTGTTTTTTGCCGTGTTCATTTTCAGCGTACAATATTAAAGGCTATTGGA